CAAGGTAAAATAAATAACAAGGTGCTGTTTTCACCAGGCAATAGTAGGCGAGGTGCTGTTTTCACTTTATAGTATAACCCTCTCTTACAACTAGCATAGGTTGATGGGGACCAATTCCAACCCTGAATCCCCACATGAGTGGGTATGGTTTTACGCTGTTTTTAGCAATACCACAGCAAGGGACACCTGACATGGACTTCACACATTGTACCCATGACAAGAATCGAACCGTGGTCTTCAGCACTTCAACCACTAGGCTACCCCACCGCCAAAATTCCCAACATGATAAAGTTGTATTCATGGTATTCTTCAAAAATTTCAAGTGAAAATATCCATACCTTTCAAATGTCTTATCTTCCACTTCACTATGTTCACTGTTGCGAAACTTCTGTCATTTAATGTGTTCTTGATTCTTCACACCTGCAAAAGTAAGTTTAAAGTTTAGTCTATTAACCATTCTCACACATTGGTACCACAGATTGATTTGTTCGTACGGTATGAACTAAGAAAATGAGTCACATTAGAGTATCTAGTAAAGGAATATAGGTAAGCAAACATATTTCTACATCTTATACATTAGCAAGGATTAACATAAGTTAGGTAGATTGCTTATCCTACAAAAATAAAATCACACATTTACTAATATATATTAAACTGAATAAGTGGCTTACAGAAGATAAATAACTTTAATACGTGATCAATATTATTCACATATTCCTTACCTGAATCAGAGACCATGTAACAGTCTATATGTAATATGGTCTCTGTCTGAATATGTCACGTCTTCAGCTCCCTGCATGACATCAGCTGCAATCGCCGATTTTGACGAGGTTGTGAAACATTCCTGCTGTAGGAATATTACGTCCGCTGGGATTTCCCTTGTCACACTGTCTTATCTAGGCATGGTAGGCAAACGCATATTCCATACACCACATAGATATACTTCCTAATACACACTGTCGAAATCCCCGCGGCTCCCAATATGGCCTGTATGAACTACAATCGGCCAACCTCGTCTCTTTCCGTAACTGCTGCAGAAATGACGCTCGTCATTCGTGACCAACTCGTGTTATTCCGGGACAGGCAAGTCTACCCATAATTCCCTGTATTGCCGAGGGCGCCATTTTGGAACACAAATGTAAACAAACACTCAAACCTCGTGTAATCGATGTACACCGTGATGCTTGATTGCGATATGCTTACCCAGCTAACACACGACGTTGTCACAACGTTGTGGAAAGGTTGTGGATTGGTAACGTCGTGAAATAACGTTGTCACAACGTTATTATGACGTCAACGTGCAACGTTATTTCACAACGTTATAACAACGTTGCACATTCACGTTGTGAAAACGTTGTGCATCGGACATCGCACAACGTTTTGTAACAACGTTTCTGAAACGTCGGTGAAACGTTATAAAGTTTGCTTCTTGATAGTCATAAAGGAATAGAACTGCTTTATCAAAATCAACATGAATTTGTCAGAATACCAAGGCAGTAATGCATTACCTTTCTGTATATTCGGCATTTGAATTTTCATCTCTTAATACTAAAATTTCCAGAACGTAATTGCGTATCTCTATTACAACGTTAGTATTACGTTACATTGTAACGTTATTCCACAACGTAACAACAACGTTGCAAATTAACGTTGTGATAACGTTATGCTTTGGACATTACAACACTTTTTGTAAATGATGTTTAGGAAACCACTTGTAGATCTACCATCTCGTAGTTTTATTTTTTTTAAACATATATATCTATGAACGAAGTTATCTGTCTACTAAATGTTGTCTTAAGCAAAATTACAGTTAAAAACACATTGGCGCGCATTTTTTGCGGCGTGAGAGCGACTGCTGAAAAGTTTAGCCTGTTGCCTCGTGAAGTGACGTCAAAATGACGTCACATTGTCGCGGAAGATTTGTTGTCACCAGCCATCTTAGTTCAAACTCACTCTGGATATATTACAACCAAGTGATTGTGCAGCAACGGGAACTGGACAGATGATCTGTGAATTCGGATAAGGTAAGTTATTTTTCAAAAGCAGTCTCCGCTTGTTGATATGTTTCTGTACATGCAGATAGTCAAATGATTTAAATGTATCGTATTATTCAGAAGTGGCGGGGTTTAGAATGCAGTTTGCCGGTCACTTTCACTGAGCTGAGCGTCAGTGTTGATAGTAATATTTGATACACAGAACGTGATGTATATAGAGGTGAAGGAAGCCCATGACGTTTTACCATATTATTATTTTATGGATACCAAGGGTAATTACCGAGGGCAAGCAGTAGGTATATGTTTGACCAGAATTCAGTCTGGCGGCGTTTGGTGGTCGTCATATTATGTTCGGGTTTCGATCGTAAGCGTATGTCTGTAGGCCTAAATAGGCCTAACGTATGCATCGCCTACTGACCACTGACAGTTATCGCCATTTCTTCCGTGTTATTTCTGAAATCTGAAAGTTTACATGTACTAATAATCTGAAACAATGTGGCTCATTCAGGCCATGGGAAAGGTTGAGTAGATTTCTCTTATACAGCGAAGAGAGGGAATCAAAACAATGGAAGTATTTTCAGATCGACTCTCTGTAGGCTGCTAGTTATAGCCCTAGTCTAAAGGGCTCAATGATGTTATGAAAAATTGTATTTTCGGGAAGAGACAGAAACATACTTGTTGTTCCCGAAAAGGCCCAATCAGCACTGACTGAAGTAGCCTAAATGTCGATCATCTGGTTGTTGGTGCTGTCTATAAATTTTATTTGAGCAAGGCGCTTATCATGTGTATTTTTAATATTTCAAAAAACAAAGAATCAATTCATCATTTTTCGATAACTAGATCTATGTCCGACTCCCTTCTAATGAAAACGAGCAAAAGTAAAACGAGTCTCGTCGCGCGCTATAACGGGGTGTTTGCGGTATTGTTCTCGCTGGTGATGATAAGCTAGTCGATAATCAAAAGTTAAATACCACCAAACATTGTCAGTGATTTGGTCATCGTTTGTTGATTATTAAGGTGAGATAAGTGTAGATCTAGTCAGTGTGCACCAATGAAAAATACAATGGAATTGATAGCAACCATATTCGTTCGGTTTTCGATCTCCGTATGTTGCCCGGTAGGCTACCATACTACAGAATGATATTTAACGATATTGAACTGTATTATGTTAATAAACGTAGTAAGTATATGATACTTGGTTCTCTGAAACGTTTTATCGCCGCGAATAGCTGCAAAATTGCTGATGCGGCGTTAAGCAATATTCACTCACTCACTCTGAAACGTTTTGGCAATGAGAGAGAATAAAATGGTGACCGAAAACTGAACGAGTAAGTTCCAGTGCTAGCTACGAAATCGTACTGTAGCTAGATCTATATAAACAGCGCTGCGATGAAGATGTGAGTCGTAATTAGCTACAATGCCTGTCAAATATATCTGTTCCCGTTTGGATTCCGGTTTAGAAAAGGTCCCCAACAAACCATGTTTGTTCTAACATGATTGTGTGTCACTGTACTCTGACAGAGGTTGTGAGACGTGGCTCACTATAACAATCACTGGTTTGTCAGACCGGTGTATATGTAAAACCAAATTACATTAGGTGTTTTTTTTTATGATGGTACTCATAATTTTGTTACTTATATCTGTAGCCTGAGTTTATTTCCGATCGGACCTTATACATGAAGACTTTAGATTTACAGTTTTCCTAAATTTTAGGCAATTATACAATGTATGTTATCTTTTTGTTTAGACTACAGATCTAAATGTATGCTTATTGAATATAGTTTTAGTTTTGACTTTTTAAATATGTTTTCGTTGCAGCAAGGGGGAAAATGTTACACGACCATTCCAGGAGATAGAATCAAGAATGTTGAATCATTGAGGAACACACCAAATAAACCCTGGGCTGTGAATTATGTTAACGTAAGTACAATTGTTTACAGTTACATTCCGTTGTCTATATCCATGTTAATTGGTGTTGTTTTTTTAGCTTGAAATGAATGCTAAGAATGTAGATCTATTTATATAAATCTATGCTCGTACCACGTTTTGTATTCAACCTGATTCTTGATGTCTCTGAATGAATGTTAAAATTTGTTTCCATCAGTCACTTGAATTATACATTATTGTTTGAATATTGATAAAACCTTATCTCCAAATGAATGTTTCTCGTCATATGAAATCTTTCATATACCTGCCCGAGATTTATTAAGCTGTTTGTATTTCAGGGAAGTGGAAGTGAACACAAAAGAAAGAAGATTCTGGCATTCAATAATTTCGAAAAGTGTATAAATTTTCTATAATCTAAAAATAATAAAATGTCAACGCAAATGTGTCTTGGAGTTCTTTGTTGAATGGTGACTTCGCATGACTGAAAGTTGAAGTATACTATATGGACTTGATTAAAGACCGACCATTTAATATTCAAGGAGGTGGGGACTTGGATTTTTTCTATGGAGATTACATATGTTTTCAGTCACAGCTACAAAAGCAGATATATGATTTTCTTTAACTCTATGAGCCTGAAGATGAGCACCTTGTATCTAGTTCTATGTCATTTTTTTGTGGCAGGCATTTTTTTCACCAGTCTGAATCGTAATTATTTTTGTCAAGAATTTTCGGTGACAGTATATTTTTTCGATAATATTCCAGGACCCGACCCTCCCCAGAAAATATCACATGGTCAACCCCTTACAATGTCTGCCATTCTTTTTTTTGTTTCTTTCAGTACAAGCCTAAAGGGTAACGGTGTCTGACTTTGTTATAGTCAAATCATGTATCTAGGTAACAGCTCAGGGGTGTTTTTACATTTTGAACATTGTTAGCAAAACACGATCTAACTCACTGTTAACCGGGCTATTCGACGCCCTGGTTTTAAAATATTGGTAAAAGGTATCTCGAATCATACACATTCACGTGACTAAAGCATATTCTAAAACATTTTTGGGGTTGTTTTTACAACATTTTAGTGTGGATAGTCACAACCGTATTTCATCCTTGTAACACAAAGTTATTTCACGTCGTGACAACGTCCGTGGTAGTACACGGAATAACGTTGTAGGGACGCATTATTATAACATTGCCACAACGTAAATTACAACATAACCACAACGTCAAATACAACGTTCCCTCAACGTAAAAATACAACGTTCCCACAACGTAAAATACAACGTCATCACAACGTTGTGACGACGTGAATATGACGTAACACAACGTTATGCCATGACGTTGTGACAACATAAATGGGAGTCCACAGAATAACGTTATATGGACGTAACATCCGCAACGTTACCAGAACGTAAACACAACGTTATCACAACGTTCCCACAACGTAAAATAAACGTCATCACAACGTTGTGACGACGTGAATATGACGTAACACAACGTTATGCCATGACGTTGTGACAACATAAATGGGAGTCCACAGAATAACGTTATATGGACGTAACATCCACAACGTTGCCACAACGTAAACACAACGTTGTCACGACGTTGTCACAACGTGAAATTCTTAGCTGGGTACCTGGTGTATCGATACATTGTTCTCAATCACCTCTAACACGGAAATCCCGGTCGAAATCCATCTGAGCCATCCACAACGAGGACGTCAAGTACTTCGAAAACTCGATTGACAGCCGAAGGAAGGAAGAGCACCTTGCGGATGCTAGGTACGTAACGGGTGCAGGCTAAAATGGCACCTCAGCAAAACGTCACCGATTTCTCTGGCGAAAACGGCACCGCATTTGGCGAAAACGGCTACTATGTGTCGGGCGAAAACGGAACCTCTATGTTTAATAACGATAACAACGATTTTTGTAGCAATATATAGGGTTTATTTACATGGTATTTGATGTATTGAGTACATCTGAAGCCGTATGTGAATTTCCGATAGGTTTGGTACTCTCATTTCTTCAGCATCTTCTGACTGGAAACTGACATGAAAGTTACCGATCACCTCTTCAATGACGGGAGCTACGAATTTCACACAGCGGAAAGGGAAGTCAGTACGGCAAATTTCTCTATAACGGGCCATAGAAAGTCCAGTTCCACTGGTCACAGTTATCACATGATACAGCATGTTGATTTTTTTTCTGTCATTCTTCTCGCATGCAACACATCGAAAGGCCATTGTGAATAATTGTGATCTTACAGCACCATGTTAGGCCTCTTAAATACAGTTTCAGTTTAAATTGAGTAAAGGTACTTAAAACTTCAAAGCGTATAGTGAATAAAAGTCGGTGAGTAAATTGGAGTAAGGGGCTAATTTCTTATTTGTTTTATTTCACAATTATTTGTGTTTGTAAGAGACGATGTGAGTTTAATTTCTATTATCTTTCGTCAAAGCATGTTATGTTTTCACCATAAGTTGAGTTGCGTATAAGCTAAGTTGGATTATAGTTGGAGCAGAGGCTAATTTCTAATGTAAACTTGTTTTAACATCTCACAATTATTGGCCTTTGCAAGTTACAATGTAAGTTTAATATCATTCATTTGACCAAGGTAAAAAAAAAATAAGGTGCCGTTTTCGCTCGAGTCGAGGTTTTTCTGAGGTGCCGTTTTCGCTATAACCCTACGTAACAGGGCTTCGAGACATAATGTTCCATGATTTCTATACAGAGATCCTATGGAATGGATTGATTTAGATATTTTCCTGATCTCCATGTTACTACTGTAAACGTCAAGGGCCTTTTAGTTTTGTTGTTTTCGGAAACCTTTTGTTATTATTATGATCAAGTGTTTGTTGTGACATGGGATTTGGGTTTGCATAAGAGCTACAGGTGTAGGACTTTTAAGGGTCGTGTCCTTATTCTCAACATAACGCTTGGATTTGATGACAAGGGTTAGTTACCAAGGGTATAAATCTGTCAAAGTGCATGTCATACAAAACGTGGCATTCAATTCCAATCATGTGTTGCCACCTGAACCACCTGAAAGTGAGATATGGATTACAATGAATAATGACAGCTTATTAATCTTTCACAAATTCACACTGAAACTTTGAAAGGATTAAGACAAGTTAGTTGTTTTCTGTTTCAGCATGTTCAGGGTTTGTGGGGAGGTTCACAGACATCTTCAGGGAGGATACGAAGTGTTGAGTGAGTATTTTTGTGTGTGATAATTACAAACTACATGTATTCATCATGGTATATTTCAATGCAATGTGAAACATCACACTCATAATAGTCCGGCTCTGTGATGGCGGCCTGTAAATAATTGAACATGGACCAGGCAATCTAGTGATAGTTATTATCAGCAAAGATCCATGCCCCCAGAGTATGATGATAACCTAGTCTGACCACCCAATTCATAAGTTGATTAGTGTTTGCAGCGGTAGAAACTAACAGTTTCAGTCCACTAGTCCTTTTAATGATAGCATATAGCAAAACCTTTAAAAATGTCAATATTCTACTTGTCCTTAGGATATTTACTATTGGGCAGTTTGGCAAGGACTATATGACTGGTGCCAATTTCTAACCCTGGTGTTTGGATGTTGTGTTTGTGTGTGTATGTATGAGTGTATTTAACTTAAATCATGAATCTTATACTTGTTTCTCAGTGCTTTTACAATGTAACCCAAATTTCCTTGGGAATAATAAAATATTATCTTATTCATATCATTTCTGAACAAAGTGTCATATCAAGGTTAGATCTCTGTCAAAACAGTGTCATGGAAAAGCCAAACAAATAGCCTAGAAATAAAAGTAAATACTGCATTGCATTAATCTGCATTTCAAGAGTGAGTGAGAGTGGTATTACGCCGCTTTAGCAATATTCAAGCAATATCACGGCGGGGGACACCAGAAATGGGCTTCACACATTGTACCCATCTTGGGAATCGAACCCGGGTCTTCGGCATGATGGTCGAACACTTTAACCACTAGGCTACCCGACCGCTCCTGCATTTTCAAGAAAATTTAGCAACAATTCATGGAATGACGTTGACCTCGATGAGGATCTTTCTGCATTGTCGAACAAGTTATTCCCCATGTAATGTATGCGTTGAATGACCCTGACTTTGTTGTCAAAATATTGTTTTTACATTAGTTAAATATAGGGATAAATGTCATCTCTGAATGTTTGACATGAATTATTATAATTAGGGCAGTTCTAAGTCGGAATCACAACTGGGGTCTTTTCATTTGAATCAAATGTACAACTGTGTACAGTTTGGACATTTCTGTGATGTGAATGCTACTTATGTTTGTAGAATGTCCGGATGAATAAAAGAGACAGTCATCTGTGCAGCATCAATGCAAGGAAAGACCATAGAAGAGCAACAGTGAGTGATACATATTTTGAAATTATTTTGTTTGGTTCATATGGTTATTTTGCAAATATTTCTTCAGTTTGTTCCTTATCGCTGTGGGCACGGATGTCCTATTATCTAAGGCACTACAATTTGCTGTGCAGAGTTGCATCTCTTGGGCTTAGCAGAAACCTATAGTCATAGTTCAAATCCTAGTTCTCCCCGATTATGTTGCTAGGTTTGTCAGCGTTATACACTTGCTCGTGGGATTCATCAAAGACCTGGATCACTTAGGGCTTTCTTCCCACATCGAGCTAACAGGCGGTGATATATCTGGAATACTGTTCAAAGCAGTGTTAAACACAACATATTTATTGATACAGCATCCAGCAATAGTTGGCTATATGACAAGGATTGTAAAAATATATTTTTCCATGTTGATGAGTTGAAGCAATCACTAAATGACATCTCTTAAAAAGATTCCCAGCAGTCTATGCTTGCCATACAAGCCTAATTAATAGATCAGGTAGTGATCGAGTAGGCTCATTGATAGCGTGTAGTCATACCACAATGACGTGGGATATTGTCCATAACAGTTATCATCGGTTTGTCTGGACCGAGTTCATAACATTAATCACTGGTTTGTCTGGTTGAGATTTGAGATGTGATTATCTTAAATGTTTGGCATATAACAAGACTCACATATGATAATGTTAGTGATTTTGCTGCCTTCTATCTGTAAGTACATGTGGCAACCATTCTTTTTGATTGCTAAAATCTTTGTACATAATGCTGCAGAAACTGAAGTCCTGCTTGAGATCCCTGGATGAGTACTCCAGGTTGACAGCCTGGAAGGACCAGACAAGGGAGTCCTTAACAGGGCGTGCACCCCTTCAGATATCAGAGGTGATTTGCAGACAGCGATGATGAGGGTCCTGTTATTTCAATGGAGGCTGACCGAGAAGTTATATGCCAAATGGTACTGGGACACACAAGACTGGTCTGGCTAATGTGAGAAGACCAACCAATGCCAAGCTGGAGTGGAATCCTTCCAGGACATTCAAGAAATTCTTGTCCTGAGCCATGTGGTAAACACTTGAACGGAATGATAAATGGGACTTATTGTCTTTCAATGTGGACCCAAACACCAAATGGAAAGTTCACAATTCTACTAGCGCAATGCAGCAGGGATTGAGTCCAACTGGTATCCCCTCATCCTGGTTCCTGTTCATCCATGGCAATATAGAAAGAAAAGTAGGATTGAGGGAAAGTAAGTTCTCTGAACTGGTGAACATAATCCGTAGGTACTGTCAAGCGAACAGTTATCACACTCTGTTATGAGTATTGAAGAATAGGATGAAATTGCATACTGCATCAGGAACAATCGTGTGAACACTGTTCAGTGTGCGATATACTATAGGCATGATAGGCATATGAATAAAAAAAATATGATAATTTGATTGTTGCTTATGTTTCATTTGCCAGCTGTGTAAATGGGGATGTTTCATGATTTTGCCTCAGTTTAATAGCTACACTTATCTTATGAAACCATGCATTGCTTTGGCATCTGATGACACATTGATCTGTTATGTCAAAGGTCAAAGTCACAACCAGACAAAAAGTTTGTTTGTGGTCTAAATCTTCCTTTGGGCAGGGGTCGAAGTTGGAAAAAGGTCGTGCGTGACCTATGTATACTACATTTTCTCCTAAATTGCCTTTTCTGCAGAAGTCTTAGTAACTCTCATACATATACTGGTTATATTATTTTCATATTTTTGTCAATGATATGTTGAATTCTACCAAAGGACTGCATATTTGGTTTATGTGCTGGATAGCTCTTTGAAATGTTTTTGAAATATTTATCACTGATATTGAAGGTCAACTTCACACTCAAAAGTGATAACTCATGAAGGGTTGAAGTGTAAGATCAAGGCAATAGTGAAGGGGTCATTCATAAAGTATTTCTGCAATTATGACTAAAATGCCTATTTCAGAAGATATTTGTGAAGTATTAAGCACATAGTTGTTATATTATTTGAATACACATATATGAGCAGTGGTTACAATTTGTGATTTGGTGTGGTGTGGTGTCAAATTAACTCTCAATCTCTTTTAATAAAAGAATTCACAGTAACTGAGGAAGAGCTCACTGTAGTACCATAAAACTAGGGTGAGGCAAATTTCAATGAAGTTAGCATTTTGGATATAACAAGTACATGTACCGTTACAAATAGTCTTATTATCATCTTACTAGGACCAAAGGCCCAAGTGAGCACATTTTCAATAACTTTTTCTTTTTCTCTGTACAAACTAGAAGTCTGGACATGAAATTTTAGGATATCATTATACGAGAACTGATGTTTGTTCATTAAATACCATTAACATCTGAAAAGAACAATATATGAAATTGAACAACTGTCTTCTCCAAAAATGTTTTAGGAGGATATTTACCATTTAGGTAACACAGAACATTACAACAGCTATCTGTTATGCACAGGCTAACATTATTTACCAGAAACAAGACATGAAGAAAATTTGCATCTGGATACCTTCCGGAAACCTTCCAGATGCCTTCAGCAACCTTCAAATTTCTTGGTATTTTCAAGATAGTTTTTTTTATGTGTTTCACACTTAAGTGAACATAATGCACCCCCCAAATTTTGAATTTCTTTTTGAAGGTTTCCGAAAGGTATCCGGGCCGGATCCAAAATGGGAAGGTTTCCGGAAGACGGAAACCAACAATTTCTTTGCTGTGGAAGTGGTGTGTTGGACTAAGGAACAATATTGCCAGGTGCGGGTCTGGCGCCCTCAACCACCACGCTCCCTTCCTCTGCCGACATAGCCTCTTACGACCAGCAATGGGATGCTGGGGGGCACATTCTACCCCGGGTCCCCACGGGGGTTTTAGATGTAAATGTATTCTCTGCAGGAGATATGATATCAACGCATTGGCGAAAACATTAAAGGATCTACTTTTTGATAAAATATACAGAGTCAGTAAGTGGGCCTTCTTGAGATAAGGCATGTATCAGAGATTGTTCAAACTGAAGTTTTTAGACACACACATTCCCTATATGGATACAATGTGAGAAGCCAATATGTGGTATCCCCTGCACTGGTGCCCTTGCTCACTACTGATATACTTGTGATGGGGTGATAAAAAATTATGCAATTCCCTATTTTGACTTGAACCATATATTTCCGTGTTTTTTAACTTGACTTACCCTTGCAAATGTTTGTGATGGGTGCCATGGGAGGGACAGGCTACGCTCACCTACGTGAACACCTCGTATTGTCACTATTAATGATACTCATAGTGATTCATAACCACCTGCTCACGATAAAGTCGGAATGGTAAATCAACTCTTATTTTAGCAGTGATTTCTTACGAATATTGAAAGTGTTTTATCGCTTATATTTATATTCATATGGATCTCAGATTACTAGTTCATTTTATAACATGAATTGAGGAAACACGGTTCCTTCATAGTTTGAATATATTTTATTTAACTTTACTTGAAAGGGATTGGTAAACAGGACTAACTGGCATATCTAAATACCGATCGATTACATAAATACATTTGTGAAGACATCAAGATTTTAAGGTCAAGAAACAATACAGACAATATAGAGTAAGACGACCACTCATGTCCCCAGGACTAAAGTCACAGGAATATAAGCTTTTATATTCATACTCAAGGTACAAATTTACCACTAGTTGAATTCATGGACAGACATAAGTATGTTGTGTTTGACATCTCTTGTCAAATTCCTGTTACCATACAGTCGTGTTTTTCAGACCAAAACCTTTTGCGTAGTAGTACATTGTGCTTCTAATGTCACGATAAGAAAAACAAGTGAGGAGAAAGTGAGGTGGAGAATCCATATAAATACCGCATTGTCATGCTGCAAATGTCTTTCACTTTTGTGACTATTGAGATCACTACATCCAATTCTACTTTCGTTTATGCTGTGTAAATGGATGGAATGAAACGTTAGCATACGCTTGATATTTCTAGATTCATATATGTAACAGGAAGTATGTAATTGTCTTCTTACGTAGATATTTATCATTAGTTAAATATACAAAGGTTTTTCATAGCAGGGATAAAAAAAAGAGTTCATCGAGTTCAGTTAATTTGCACCTACATGACGCGACACATGTTATTTTGTTTACCTGATTCTTGTGTTGCCAACATAACATATATTGTATTACATGTATGCATTCAGTTTCCTAACCTCAACACCTTATCTTAACACCTGTAGTTTCTTATTTTGATTGGGGAAGCTGACCGTTAGTATACTGTTTGTTTGTAGAGGCAAATAACGTAAGCATGCATCTAGATGTGACTCGCCACTGCTGACAGGAATACCTGTATACACAGACCGTCTGAAATATCATGTTATCTTTCATAGAATCGACACCTTCTCCCAAACTCAAGCGGTGCATACATAAAACAGTAAGTTATACATTACTGCTACACGGACGGTAGCTTTACACGGAGAAACAGATTGTCATTGTACAGGATCAGTAGTCCTCGCTTGTTGCAAGGGAACCGGTGTATTAAACACCATGTCAGTGTGACTTTATCTAAGGCCGGGCTACCTTAGCTCTACCCTTCCCATCAAGCTGTAAGTTATGGCATTGTGGTTATCCTACCATACATTACACATTCCTCCCCGTATAATGCTGGAGGAATTATATTGCAGTGGCTGCCTACTCGCTCAACTCACGATATTACTGTTTTCTAAAGATGCTGTTACTAGATATGTTTTTCCCTAACGTCTCTTCGCCAGTTGAAACTGGTAGGTGAGTGAGTGAGTTGGGTTTAACGCCGCTTTTAACAGTATTCCAGTTATATCGCGGCGTGTCAGCTTAATGTGGGAGGAAAGCCCCAGGTGATGCAGGTCTCGGACGTTTACTACTTCGGTGAAACCCACGAGCACAGGCATGGTGCTGGCAAACCTTGAAACATAATCGGGGCGAACCGGGATTTGAACCCACAACCATAGATTTCTGGCGTGCCCAAGGGACGCAACTCTGCACAACGAATTGCGGGGCCTTAGACGACTTGGCCACACGTGCCCCCGAAACTGGTAGGAATAAAAATAAACACAAGAGTCATCAGAAAGGTGACATATCCCCCCGGCAGCTGTCTGTAAACTAACCACTAGTAAATGTGCAATTCTGTATGTAATGAGTCAACAGTTGAATGTTCTTTTAGAAGCATACATTGTTTACCCACTAAATGGTTTTCGAATTCTGACCCGGAAACGAACCCCATCCCCAATTGAGTCTAGGTCCAACTTCTTTCTATAAAAATTGTAAAAAATAAAAATTTGTAAAAAAATAAATATCAAAAGGCATCACTTCAGTATGTGCCTGATAGCTTTGCCAAGTTTCGATCAAATACACTGAATGGTTTTCGAATTCTGCCCCGAAAACTAACCCCATCCCCTATTGAGTCTAGGTCCAACTTCTTTCCATAAAAATTGTAAAAAATAAAAATTCGTAAAAAAATATATATCAAAAGGCATCACTTCAGTATGTGCTTGATAGTTTTGCCAAGTTTCGATCAAATACACTGAATGGTTTTCGAATTCTGCCCCGGAAACGAACCCCATCCCCAACAGAGTCTATGTCCAACTTCATTCCATAAAAAAGTTGAAATATTAAAATTAGAAAAATCCCAAAATATCAAAAGGCACCACTTCAGTATGTGCCTGATAGCTTTGCAATGGTGATCGAATTCTGCTCCGGAAACGAAACCCATCCCCAATAGAGTCTAGGTCCAACTTCTTTCCATAAAAATTGTAAAAAATATATATATCAAAAGGCATCACTTCAGTATGTGCCTGATAGTTTTGCCAAGTTTCGATCAAATACACTGAATGGTTTTCGAATTCTGACCCGGAAACGAACCCCATCCCCAATTGAGTCTAGGTCCAACTTCTTTCTATAAAAATTGTAAAAAATAAAAATTTGTAAAAAAATAAATATCAAAAGGCATCACTTCAGTATGTGCCTGATAGCTTTGCCAAGTTTCGATCAAATACACTGAATGGTTTTCGAATTCTGCCCCGAAAACTAACCACATCCCCTATTGAGTCTAGGTCCAACTTCTTTCCATAAAAATTGTAAAAAATAAAAATTTGTAAAAAAATATATATCAAAAGGCATCACTACAGTATGTGCCTGATAGTTTTGCCAAGTTTCGATCAAATACACTGAATGGTTTTCGAATTCTGCCCCGGAAACGAACCCCATCCCCAACAGAGTCTATGTCCAACTTCATTCCATAAAAAAATTCAAAAATTAAAATTAGAAAAATCCCAAAATATCAAAAGGCACCACTTCAGTATGTGCCTGATAGCTTTGCCAAGTTTCGATCAAATACATTGAATGGTGTTCAAATTCTGCCCCGGAAACGAAACCCATCCCCAATAGAGTCTAGGTCCA